CCCCCCCCCAGGTCTCTGCCAGGCAGCGTTGTGTAGCTTGTCTTGCTGGGTAGATCGGCATCCATCTGAAAGCCATGCGGTACGGTGGTTGGCGATGTGCAGCGGGTGCAGGCGAGTGCATGTGCACCCCCTGAGCAAAAAGGTGCCCGGTGCCCCCGTGCCAAGGCCGCCAGCGATTGTTACTGACCTGCGGGTGGTCGCTGTGCCACCCCCCACGCTTGCCACCGCCACCAAAACTTCCCAGGGAAGTGGTCCTCGCCCCTACCTTGGGCAAATTCAAGAGGAGGTTGGACGATCACCTGTCTGGGGTCTTGTGAACCCAGCATTCAGTCCTGCCCGTGGCAGGGGGGGAGGCTAGATGATCTGTTCAGGCCCCTCCTGACCCTAGTTATGAAACTATGAAAAGCACCGCCGCCACCTGCGGGAGCTTGCCGGGCCCCCCAGCCTCCGGGGGCACGTGGCGTTCGTGAGTACAATTAATGACGTTGGCCCAAAAAATCTCCCAGAATAGCTTCAGTCAGTTGGGTAGGGGGGTTTGTGAGCACAGGCCTGGGAGGCCTGTGATGCACTAGGTGCCTGGTCTGAGCTTGGTGTGCCTGCAAAATCCAGCTCTGCAAAACTGGAGTCTTGACATGCCGTCGGCCTAAAGGAGAGAAGAGACCTGGAGAGGAGAGGAGAGGCCGGCTGCTAAGTGGCTTCCTACTTGTCAGCCTTCCTGGGCCCTGGCACCTGTTGCTTGAGACAGAAAAGATCAGGCATCATTCAACACTGAGCCCTGTCCCCAGTACTAGTCACAAAAAAGGCAAAGACTCATCATGCTGGTACGCTTAGATCAGGGTCTTCAAAGTTGTGTTATAGTGTTATGATGCATATGAGTCTGGAGAAGCACATCTTTTAACTCAGTCCCACATCCTACATGGGTGACTGGCATCCCCACGTTGGTATCATTGCAGTTGGCATCAGAATCTTTTCCATCCAAGATTTCTTTGCAGATTGTCCTGCCCATGCTCTTATTGATCCTGACTTGATCTGCTAAAATTGCATTTACATCTGACAACCTTATCATATCAGGGTGTTTGTTGAATAATTGGCTAGCTCTGTCTTCTCTGCCGTATCCAATACCATCAGTACCAAAACCTAAAGGACTGAAGATGAAAATAACGTAAGTGGCAGAACCTGCCTCTAAGGCTTTAATTCCTGTTTTCACTCCATAAGGCTATGCTATATCATTAGAGGAATACTATTCTTTTTTTTCCTCTACTCCTTCTAATAGTAAGTACAAAGCACACTTACCTATAAATACAAAGCACAAGGCATCCTGGTACATAACTGGGGCTCCCAACTGATGTGGAAATACAAATACATAATAACCATGGTAACTGGAAGTCGTTAGCCCTAATTGGATCCACCGATTTACAGGAGGGTTTCTGTAAGCTTTCCTCCCAAGTTACAGTCTCATGTTCCAGGGGCTTGTTATGGTCCATGGCTCTGTGGATACAGACGCACCTGTTTGAAGACTATGATCTAGTTGATTTACGATTGACAAGCCAGTCAAATATTGTCAATTGACTGCATATTTTTTGACCAGTCAAATATTACAGTAATTTTACAAAAAACTCTTTTTTTTGGTTTTCTTGACAGAAATACAATTTTTTGAGACATTTCTTAATGATTTTTTTCCTGTGTGTTATTTGGACCTATTGGCAATTTTTTTACAATTTTTGACCAATATGTGACCAGTAAATTGACTGCACTTTATTTGACCAGCCAAATATCCAGCCCTAGTTTGACTGGGTTTGTGGCTCCAGGTTTGTGGCTAGGGTTTCTATTAGGAAGAAGGGTGGATGATGTTCAGCTTGAGATCTCATATCTCAATAAGTATATCCAATGCTTAACATTTTAGGCAGTCACTCTATGATCCCTTCCTTAGATCCCACAGATTGGTTCACAACTTTTAGCTTGTAAAATGTGTAATTTTTCCATGTCAGTTCATCCTGTCCACCTGTGCTCCATTTAAGTGTGTAACCTCAGGATGGAAAAAAAAACCCACACAGTAACTGAAAGCATATATTTATCCAAGCTCAACCAATACTCACTAGGTACAATAACAGCAGGGGCTAATCTTTTCACGCCTCTTTATGACTTGGTACCTTGTTTCTCAGAGCGCCTTATTCCTCTAATACAACAAACACAGGTTTTTTGGTCATACCTTTTATTAACTTGGTTCAATAAAAGATATAATCATAAATAATTTTGCTTTGCCCATATTTCTCCCATCACAGCTACAACAGTCCAGCCCTACTTATGTTTTTAGTAGCAGTCTTGAAATTGCTGGAGCCTTGTCAGTTCAGGACTGGCTGCCTTAGAAGCCTTCACATTTGATGGGTCCTCGTTATATATGCAGTGAAAGGCAGTATGGTTACCTTATTGCACATGTCAAACTCATCTGGCCCTGTGGGCTGGATGAGGTGTGCAGGGCTACTCCACAAGCCAGGTCAGGCGCACGGAGCAGCCCCATGCATCAGATCCGGCGCTCGGGGCCAATCCAGAGTGACCAAGTCACTTGTACCATAAATGACACATTCTCTGACTGACTGTGGACCTCATGTAGTGCACAGGGCTGGGGCTAGCACCTGCAGGGGCAGGGCAGCCCACCTCAAGCCGGTCTAACACCCACAGGCAGCACCGCAGGCTGGAAGGTAGAACGCTGCGGGCCACGTCTTTGACACTGCTGCCTTACCGACTAGACCGGTGGTCTCCAAGCTTTTTGCGGTGAAGATCACTTTTTGGAACTAAAGGGCACCCCAGGACCTACCGCACACCCACCCTGCCCCACGCATCCCTGGACCGCAGAGTGTCCGAGACCCTGCTGGGTCAGGGTCCGATCCCACTTCTGTGCTGCGGCTGCACTGAGCTGCACCCGTCTGGCAGCCAGAGGAACGTGGCATCAGGACCTGGCCTGGCCGGGTCTGGAAGTCTCCATGATCCAGGAGCATGTGGGGAGGGGCTCCTGCTGCTGGGCACAGCCTGTCAGAGGCCCCGAGGGCCCATGCCTCCCCCACCTGTGCTTGGGATGAGGCGGCTGCTGCTGTGGGCTCCCCGCTGCACCCCAAGCACAGGTGGGGGAGAGGCATGGGCCCCCAGGACCTCCGCTAAGCTGTGCCCAGCAATGGGAGCCCCCCCACACACCCCCTCTGAATGACCAGATCTTCCCAGACCCAGCTGGACTAGGGCCACCCCCATGTGAGTCCCCGCTGCTGAGCTGAGCTGAGCTGCACTCACATGTGGCCAGCTTGCAGCAGGGCTCAAGGCACAGTGACGGCAGCCTCT